AGTTACTTTCAGTCAGGGACTATTCTCCCCACCTTTATTGGTCTAGTTGACTACAGACCGGTAGACTATTAAAAATATTGTTCTTTTGGTAAAACTTGTAAACTCCTAGTTTTCATTATTTCTCTAAATATCCACTTGAAATAATTACTTTATATATTGGTTAGTCTTTCAAATACTAACTAGCTATTAACAAATTAATATTTAAAGAACTGTACATTATATTACTCACCTGGGGGAGAAGTCAGATGACGAACAGGTCTTGCTGGTTGAAGCGATTTACCAATCAATTTTTTGGTTTCCATTGTCATGAAGACCTTGAGGTTCCATACTTTAAGAGGGAAAGATACACTTTTATCTTTTGGACAAGATAATCAAGATGCTTTACATATATACAAATAACTACAACACTCATTTGAAGATACTTATAAGGTGTAAAACACAAACATAAAAAAGCATTTAAAATAATATGCAATAATCTTAGACCTTTTTATAGTATTTGTCACAGTTGAACATCCCCTCTTTAAAACATTTTCCTCTCTTAACCTCCATGACTCTATTTTCTCTTGGTTTGTTTCCTATTTCTTTGCCTCTTCTAACTTCCCTAGCTGATTCATTTTCTGTTCTCTAATTAAATGTAGGGATTCTTCCAAATGTGGCTTTGGTCTTCTTACCTAACCTCATCTATTCTCATGATTGCAACTACCTATATAATAAACAAGCCCTAATTTATACTTCTGGCATCCACCTCTCTTTTAAATTCCAGTTCTATTTTTCCAATCGCTTAATGATATTTCAATTTATATGTTATCACAAGTACCTCAAATTCAACATATCCAAAATCAAATTAATGACTTTGATCCCAAAGATGTCCCACCTCCTGTATTCCTTAAAGTCATCACCAACTCTCTTGGACCACACTTGGTAAAAGATACCTTTAATTTGATGATCTAAATTAGAGCCTCCCACCCCATTATTAGTCTCTAATTCCTGCCCATACTACTTCCAAAATATATCTTAAATCTATTTTCTTCATTCTCACCTCTACTCTCTCTAATTCCACAGTAGCTCTTATTTCATATTTCATCTCTTTGATCACCTTTTAAATAGATTCAAATGTTCCCCCTCTATGTTCTTGGGATACCAAGAATTTATCCACATTATGACATGTAGAGAACACAGTACTATGCCATAATTGTTTATCTATCTTCCATGCTAGACAAAAATGAGGAACAGATTCTCCTTAAAGTGAGGAACAATCAATGTCTTTATTCACCCTGTGTCCCCTGCAACTAACAGAGTACTTGGACTGAATCCAAAGTAGGTGTAAAATAAGAATTCCCTGAACCAATGGATGAATATATAGGCTCTTTTCTCTCCAAACTATGATCCCTTTACACATACTTTTGATTTAAAAACTTCAGTTACCCATCATCTCTTGTATTATAACAACAGAAGCATGTGCCAACATCCATGTCATCCATACTAAACCACTTGCCTACACTTTATTATTCAAAACAACTCTATAAATTTGGCACTATTAACAGTTAGAGCTCAGACTACCTGGGTTCATATCATGGCTCTACCATCTAGTTATATAACTGTATGGCTATCTAAGACTAGATAATCTACATAAAGCACTTAGCACAATACCTGGTCATAGTAAGGGTTCAAAAAATATCAGCTAATCTTATTATCATTCCCATTTTACAGATAAGGCTTAGAGAAACAAGGTAATGTACCCAAGGTCAAGAGTCTAGAAGGAAGTCATAGCCCATACCCATACTTGTGATCAACACTCTACAATCTAGCTAGCCTCAACCTCTTTTCCCATCTCACAGCTAGGGAGAATTGCCCAACTTCTGGTTAAGTAACCTTTTTATATGTTTACAAAGCACCCATCTCTTCTTCCAACATGGTACTTATTGCACTAGCTGCAATTACCTATTATGTGACTATTAAATTACAGTTTTGTAAGTCAGGTATATTTCTAGTGTCTACCCCAGTGTCTGGTACACAGTGGATGTTGAACAAATTTTTATTTTAATGTTATTTTCTTTCACCACATATGTAGACATTCAGGTGCTCTATCTGGAGTTTCTTCACTCTCTCTGCTGCTTTTCTCCCAAACAGTTATTACTCTGTCAAGAGCAAGGTCAAGCTCTTGCTACCTCCTTGAAAAATATCCTCATGTCTCAATGGGTAATGTTAAATAAAATAGTTTACATGATGTTCTCTAGTTCCTAATAAATAGTTAATAGTAAAATAATAATAATTCCTCTTTCTTTACCTTTCTCCTCCATTGGTCCCTACTGTATTCTATCAATTTTATTAAAATAAATCATAGTAAATATATTTAATTAATCTATGAGTTAGTTGAGGCCACAAAAACTAGATTTTATCTTTGTATCCCAGTTTAATTTTACTAAACTATGAATTTTAAATATTTCTTCATTATAACTAAAATTTTCTGATACCTGCTTGGAACACAAGATTTCCAAATTTTTATGCCCATCAAAACATAGTCAAAAATAAAAGCCCACTTGATTTGTACCTGTTCTTCCAGAATAATTGTGTAGGCATGTGCTATCATGGAAATCATAAGTCTAAGTGACTGTTTCCCCAAGTATAAAATAGGGTTAGTAACTCCCTTTTGGTTCCAAGAAATGCTTTATCCTATTTAAAAATGTACTTGAACATATATAATTTTAATGTTAAAATCATAAACTTAAAAATCTCTCAAAGATTCGAGCATGTTAGCAATGATAACTAGCTCAAAAAAGTTGATTTTCTGAAATTAGGAGATAAGCCAGTCAGTACTTCAAATTAATACTTACCTAGTTTGTAATGTATTTGTTAACTAGTATTTCAACATGACTATTAACAATCTTCTAAACAAAACTAATGCTATCTGTACTTATTGGCAATACAACTTTGACATAACAGTAAACAAAAAAGCTAAAAGCACAAGTAGGAAAAACAGACTTCAAACAAATGAGGACCAAAAAGCAATCTAATATACTTTGCCTTATTAAATGTTTATCCTAGCCATTTTAATTTTAATTTACTACCCCTAATACTAGTAGGTAGTGACTTTCCATCCTGTTTCCCACATAAACTGTTGAATCAGAATACAATAGAATAGAGTACTTTGGCACACACTTCCTTGTTTTTCATTGCTCAGCTGAAATAGAGTTGTAGGTTGTAAAGTCTTTTCCAGTAGCTGAGCAAGGCAAATCCACAGTATTCACACTAGGGATTTTCAAGAGTTGGGGAGTTACAGAACTCTATTATATGACTTTGCAACACAAGTAAATAAACTAAAAAATGAAATCTCCTTTAATACCACCTACCCTTCAATTTGTAGTAGGAAAGTTAACAGTGAGGGCTCCCATGTGTAAATCCACATATCAGTCAAGGAAATTAGAAAAGATGGT